TCATTAGAGGCCTCGTCAAGCTGAGCCACTTGGGAAGCATGAGCCACGGTTCATGGCTGCCACATCTTCATAACTAGCCTAAGCTCCTCTTATAGACCACTATAATGAAACTGGACACAAAGTAAACCTCATCCAATGTAGGATTGTAACGAACCATATGTGATTTTAGTTAATCAAATTTTTCTTGGTATTCCAATAGTGATCCTCTGTGTCGAAGCTTGTTAAACTTTCCTACTATACCTCCATATTAATGATCACCAAAGTTATGGCATAAATCAGCTACAAAGTCCTCTAAATCCATTCACCTCGCCCAAACTTCCAACCCTCTAACCATATATCAGGACGGCGAACAAAGTAAAAGGAAGCCATTCGCACCTTCTAATCATTAGGAACCTCATAAATGTCAAACAATTTCTCGCATTCCCGGGTCCATTCTCTAGGGTTATCACCCCCAAACGCAAAAAATCGAGACGAGGAAACTGACTGGATTGTTACCTCGAGATGGAGAATGAAAGTGCTTCTGCTTTGCAGATTCAATACCGCAGTTCGATATGCAATATTTCAAGCAATGAAATTTGTGTTGCAATTTTAAGATTACCCGTCATTTTATAGGTTATGAAAATTATAAATCATGTATTAAACTTTGCTTTTCAGAAGATTTAATATGCTAGCTAAACGGTGAAAAGTCCTCTACTTTTCAAATCTTCGCTTAGTGCATGTTTACAATTTACGAAGATAAAACAAATTTGTTTAGTGTAATTGGTTGTGATTATTGTTTTTGTTTGAAGAGACCATGGTTCAAATCTTGATATTGATACTTTTTCATATGAAGTAGATAATAATTGTGATGACAAAAATACTTTTCCTACTTTTACTCTCGCTTCACAAAATTTAAAATAGAGAAATCTTAAAACATTGAATATATCTTATAGAAAGAGCTTCTTCAACCAAATAGGAAAGGAATTTTACCTGAAATTATTATATCTTATAGATTGTGATTAATTGTGAAATCGGAACTCAAGTAACATTGTTTCAAATATTAAATAATAAATTATATGTGTGGTTCAGTTTAGACAAAATACATGTGTAGCCAAAATATGGATCTTTGTGACAAATATAATAATTTTTTGTCACAAACCTACACATAATATAAAGATAAATTGGACAATATGACAAAAAATAGCTTCCTAAAATCACTCTCATGCCACGAAATTTCAAATGAGACTTTCATTTTCCAATTTTATCATTATAATATGTGTATATTTGTCACAAAAAAATGATAATACTCGTCACAAATGTCAATGTTTTGGTTACACTTTTATATTTTGTCTAAACTAAACAACACATACAATTTAATATTAATGTTATACTGCTTGAGTTCCGATTCAGAACTAATATCTTTCTATAAAATATAAATATAAAAACATCATTACCAAACATATTCCTAGAGTTCAATCATAGAAATAACAATAAATAAAATATAGTTTAATTGGTTATAATGTTCTTCTTCATTCAAGTGATAAAGTTCAAACTCCAATGATAACATTTTTAATTTTTAATATATAAACATGAACGGTGACAAAAATGCAGCCTAGTTATTCTGGTAACTGCATAAGTTGTTAGTATATACTAACTAATATCCAAACGGTATGAACTAGTATCTAAGTCTGCTGATTTTACTAAAGTATCTAGATAGCACAAACTAGTATTCAGATAGCAGATACCAACTAATATCGGCCTAAGTTCAGGTCCTTAAACCCTCTTTTTTAAGGAGGATCTCAAAGCGTTGTGATTGGCTGATTCAACGTTAGGTAGTTAGTGGGGAGTTATTAGTTAAATAGTTGTTAGGGTTATTAAGTGAATTACAATTAAATTAAAAATTGTAACCGTACTGATGTATATACCCACATCTCTTTCTTTTCCCTCCCGTTGTCTTTTTCTTTTTCCTCTCGCAAGCAGGCGAACCGTCCCTCCCGATGAGTTCTCCGTCCGTTCGTCCCTCCCGCTGAGTTCTCCGACCGGCGATCCTCCGGAAGCGTTCTCCGCTGAGGACAGCTAGCTCCCGTTGCAGTCGCCGTTCAAGTCCACCAACGCCAAACCAAACTTCTGTTGTCGCCGTCGGTCCAGCTTCCCCCCGCTGAGATCTCCGACCGTCGCTGCCAGTTAGTAATAGTTTGAAGGCTATTATCAATTGATAATGATAGTAGTGTAACTCACATGTATGCATTCATAATATATATACACCCGTTAGTAATAGTTTGAAGGTCATTATCAATATGTTTATATATCTCCATAATTAGCATACATGCATTCTTTATTAATAATACCAGCTTCGTTTAAATTCAACCTTATATAAAAATAATAATATCAGCTTCGTTATCAATTTTACTAATCTCATTATCAATTATTTCTTGTACTTTTCTTATCTCGCATTACAAAGATTGTTAAAACTAATAAGGTGTGTTTAGGGTTTTTCACTAATACAGTTTATGATCAATTTACGTAGCCATGATTTGTAATCTTTTGAAGGGCTATGGTCAATATTTTTACCCACCCAATAATCAACGTTTTTTTTTCGTATTGTCAATGTTGTTAGATAGGCTTGTTAATTATGTTATGTTGTGATATTAACTTTTTTATTGTCGTTTTGTAATTGTTTTATCAATTTGTTTGTAATCGACATTAATTCACTAATATAGTTTATTATCAATTTATTTCATAGTGATTTGTAATATTTTGAAGTGTTGTGATCAATCGTGCATGATTTGATAGTGTCTCGTCTTATTATTAAGCGCGTGCTATTATTAATCTCTCTGTTGAATTTACGTATAATATTATCAATCTTAGTTTATTATTAACTTTTCTTCGTCCATTAGTAATATTTTCAAAGTCATGTTGAAGTTTTTACTAGTATTAATCTGCCGGTTGAATTAACGAGTAGTATTAACAATCTCTGTTCATTATTAACGTTTTTTCAGCATTAGTAATATTTTGAACGTAATTATCAAAAAAAAGTTGTAGTGCTACACGATATACCACAATCCAAGATCTGTAAGAACAAACTTATTGTCGGCCCGCTACGTCCGTCGCTTGCCATAAAAAAAGAAACGCGACGGAGTTGTCAACATAAGGAGGAGCCTGTGAATTGAGCAGCTGGTGGATTGAGGTTTTCAAAGCAATGTAACAGATTTGTCAACATTTTCAACCGTACATATTAATGATTTGGTATACGTTATTAACATTTTTTTACTGACGCTACTAGAATTATCAATAAAAAATGCGATTTAATGGTCGTATTGTCCACAGTATTAACCTCTCGACTATATTATTAATTATATAACTGAAATTATTAATCGGTAATCAAAATGCTTCCACAATAAGGGGAGCCTCTGATTTGAGATTTGTAGAGCAACGTAACGGAGTTGTCAACGTTGTCAACAATACATATTAGTTTTTTCACATACGTTATCAACATTTTTCTGTGATGATATTATTAACCTTCTCAATCAAATTGAAACGCAATTTACCGATCGTGTTGTAAACATTATTAACCTACAACATCATTATTATTAATTAGATCATCGGAATTATTAAAGCAGCTTAACCGAGCTGTCAATGTTTTAACAGTACATATTAATGTCTTCACCTATATTATTAACATTTTCTAGTGACGCTATTATTAACATTCTCAATCAATTTGAAGCTTGATTCACTTGTTGTGTTGTAAACATTTTAGTGACACTATTATCAACTTTTCAGCTCGGCAATATTAACAATATACAATATCATTATTAACATTTCTTACATAATTTACAACGAATGACGAATTCATTATTAACAAATTCTCTTTGTTTTTCAACGTAAACAATAATATTATTAACAAATTCTGCCTCGACAGTGGGAGACCGGCAAGATGGGGCGACGACCGGATGGGGAGATGTCGGATGGCGGCGGGACGACGACGGAGTCAGGCAGGATGATGGCGGGAATGGGATGGGGAAGCTGACGGGAAATTGACGCCGGCGAAGCAGAAGACTCATGAAGGCTGCCGACGCTTATGAAAGGAAGTGGTCGTGCGACGACGACAAACGACGCGTCACGGGAGAGACGAGGCGCGACGGTGGACGGTAATGCAATGTCGGTTCAGCAAGACCATAAGTCGGGAAGAAAGAGTCTCGTCGGCTTCGCGGCACGACGACGACTTTTGGAGGATGAACGATTGTAGGGTTGGGAGGAGACTAATTCTCGAAACCCCAATTAATTCAACGTTTGTGTGGGTTTTCGCCATTTTTCATTTTAATTAATAATATCATTAAATATTTTTTATATTCCTGTCTTACCCTTTAACGTATTAGGTAGGTAGTTATCCAATGATTACTAATCATTACCTCTCTCCTTCTCCTATTGGTTGAAAGGGGTTTAAGATCTTACTTAAAAAGGAGGTCTTAAGGACCTGATCTAACCCGACTAATATCCACAATCAACCAACTAGTATTTAATATGGATACTCTTATGTGTTATCTGAATACTCTTATGTATTATCTGGATACTAATTATGTGTTGTATGGATACTATTATGTGTTGCCTAGATATTAGTTTGTGAATTTGGGATAATAGTTGATTCATGGTGGATATTAGTTAGGAAACCTTGAATACTAGTCTGTGCTCTCTAGATACTTTAGTACTTGGATACTAATTCATTTATTTTGGATATCAGTTAGTATCTGCCAACGAATATTCAAGTTAGCAGATTAACTTTCTCCAAATGACCTTCCCTTCCCTAACTTTGTACATTTACATTTTGGTCCTTGTTCATTGCACACCGGCCACCGCCATAGCTGTCGACACGACGAAGGAATGACCGGCGATTGTGAACTGCCTCTTCACTGCCGCCTAGTCGATGAGTGCCTTTGTCCTTATTTCGTTAGTGATTTAATAGCTCGATTTTCTCATAGGAGCTTGATTTCTGTTAGCTTGAATTGTTTTAAGTTAAAAGAACTGAGCCCGCTGCTGTTTTACAGGAGCCGGACGTAGGTTCTGTGTCTTTAACCAGAGAAATGAAGAAAAATCTTCTTATCGCACTCTCTAAGGTTCTGCATCTTTTACCCCTTGTTGCTTATGCTTCAATGTGATCAGTAGTTTGAACGGCTTCTGCCATTTTAGGTTTACGGAGATATTCAGGTCTGGATTCCTGAAACGGAGGTTGATTCTGATGAAGTAAGCTCCTTCACAATTTTCTTTTCTGAAATTCTATGATCAAGTTAGTTTCCAGAGAGAAGCATTATGTTTCTGAGATATATTTCCGACAGAAGACCATGGTTTCTGAATGTTTATCGGAGGATGTACATGAGCAGCATAACTGTTTGATGAAAGTCCTAGCTGACTTGGTATGCACTCTCTCTCTCCCTCCCTCTCTATCTGCGCCTGAAGTTGGTTTGATAAGATGAACATGTAGAGTTAAATCTATCCAATTGAGTGAGGTTGATTTGGATGTATCAATAATATTACACAGGAGGAAGGCATGGTGGTTTCAAAATGCTTTTCCAAGATCAGTTTTACTATACTTATGTACTTGTTAATTCATTGGAAGTAGCACTGTCCTAACGTGGTCATTTGCTATGACATGCAGATTCTTTTACTTACAGTCGACAGTCGGTACATACAGCATTCAGTGGGAAAGATTGGCAAGGCCGTTTCTAAGCTTCAGGCTCCATCTGTGAGTTTGTAGTTTCTTTCCATTTGTAGTCTACTGGGATACATAAATTTCGAAACTGGTTTGTGAATGTCTTGACAGGGAAGTAACTGGGACTCTTTGGTTCATTCACTCTGGATGTGCCTGGAATTGATAGTGAAATGCCTGTTGTCCTGTTTCCAAATTCAAATGCTGACGAGGATTTACATTTTGGATCCTCAAGTCTAAGGTCTTAATTCGTTGTCTGCGAAATACAGACTGGCCCGCAGCAGCTCATATAATCCAAATCTTGCGGAATATACTGAAAAGTTTGAAGCAAGAGTCTCATGATCAGCACGAACAAGGTTTTGGTCTAGTGGTAATACCACTAGCCTTGATGGAGCTCCCAACTTCGATTCCCTTGGTTAGTAAAAGTTGTGTTCTTGGGGAGTTTGATCTCATTTCTTTGTTCATTGGTTGAGCAAACCGCAGCTCCAGAGTCCACAGTCCATCTCTGAAATCAACATTCAATACTTCCCATAGTTATTAATCTTGTGCCTAAATTTCTCTATTGGTGTCTTGGCAAGCCAGAGAATAGGGTCAAACAGCCCACCTTTCAGTACTTCACTCACAAATTGCTGGTAAGACCTTGCTTCATTTTATTTTTCTGGCTATATTAATTTGGAGTAGAAAAATATGATGTCTTGTCATGGAAACCATTGCAGGACATCGTGAATGATAGATAGTTTCCTATGTTTTACTGGTTCATATTGATATGCTGTGGTCGTTTTTTGTTGAGTTATTGATTGATGGGTTCAGGAATTTAAGATCAGCAGAATCTTTCTGCAGATGTTAATGCCGAGACTTAGTTTAAGTTGCATCACGCTTGTTTCCTGGTTGCAACTTCTCCATGACTACTTTGAAGAGCTACTTTTCAAACCCATGTCTAGGATTGAGTCTTGTCAAAATGATTGCCTAGAAGTCTCCCCGTTTCTCTCAAGCGTCTCTCAGGGAAAAGCACAAGACAGGAGGCACTCCTTCATTCTAAAAGGCATGCCATACTCCCATTCTTAGCTGCTGCTTTAGTTTGATCGGCTCGTCAGGAGAGAATGCCAAGCAACTTCCTGAAGCTCATAACTCTCTCTCAGCTGTTAACTTGGTCTCTGACCCTGATTCTTCTGGCAGAAGTGAAGGATTTATTGAGCTCTACAAATGGCTCTAAGCCCATCTCCAAAACAGCTTCTTATAGGGAAAGGAAATGTGTATGGACAAGTGTATACTTTTTGCAAGATCTTTTCTCCAGCTATATTTGCATGAGGTTAGAACCTTCTTAGCTCAGGGATTTGTTAGCTACTATAGAACACAACACACCCTTTTAAATTGTTGTCTATTGCTTGAAAATCTTAGCGAACTTATTTCACATTAGTCTATTGCAGGCCTTAACAAATCAAGGGTTTCTCGTCACGTCTAATTACTGTTTGATTCCGGTGTAGGATGACTTATAGTTTAAGGTTCTTCTGCAGTTGGTTGCTGTGTCTTCTTGTTTGGAGCATCAGTGAGTAGTGACCATAACTAGTTCAATTTGATTTTACTGGTGAAAACACATTATTGATTATCTGATCATGTATAGGTTAGAGGGATATAAACAAGCGTTCATGATGCAGAAGAGGATATTGGATTTCTAGTTTCAAATGCTTTCTGTCCACTGAATTTATTCCATCCATTCCTCTCAGAGGTGACATCCCTTTGTATAGGCTTCAATATTAATAGCCCAGAAGTCCTTTGTTTCGATTTTGAAATACTTCATTTTCTTACAGTTGCACTATGATCATCAAGTGCTGCTTGATTACCTTATTTCCAAGGATCTTGGAATTAGTGGTGCAGAGTATCTGTTGAGGTAACTTCCAGTTCAGACATCCTAAAGTGTAGTCTTAACTCGTCATTCCTGAGCGTTGGTTGTCATAAGTTGACTGCTGTCCTAATCTGTTGCTATACTTATCTATCCCCCTTCACTTTTTAGGAGTTTAAGGACTACATGTAGTGCATGGCATTTTTTCAGAGTTTTCTCTGTTGAAGGAAATGCTACGGATAGTTTATCTCAAACAAGGCAAAATACCATATGGTATGAAAAAATATGCTGTTATTTAATACCAGTCAATACCATATGGTATTAAATAACAGCATACCATATGGTGGTATAGTATGGTATGGAGTTGGTAACAAGAGGTTTTAAATTTTTTCCCCCAAAAAATTTTGAAACCTCTAAAAGATCATGATTAAATCGTTCATTTTGTGCAAAAATTTCCGAAAATAACTAAACAACGAAGGAGAAACCATATGGTATGGAGTTGGTAACGAGAGGGATGAAATTTTTTTTTCTCAAAAAATATTGAAAATGGATATCATTTTGTAGAGCACAACGAACTCGTTCCATCTATGTAAAAAAAATTGAAATCCGAGTTAGAATGAAGAAGATATGATCCAATTAAGAAAACTAGGGAAAATAAATTCCTTTAATTCTCCACCCTTAGATCTGCAGTCACTTAAAAGAAGGGTCCAGATTTAGTTACTCATTGTTACTCACCCTAAGGTTACTCACCCTATCTTGAGCTAGGGGTGGGCGTTCGGTCGGTTCGGTTTCGACCGAACCGAAATTATGAATACCGGGTCCCCGAATTCTCCCAAACCTCAAACCGAATTCGAACCGAATTATAATTTGGTTCGGTCGGTTTAAACCGAATTATAATTCGGTTCTGTTTGGTTTTTGACACAAAACCGAATTTGTTAAAATACTTGTATCTTCTCACTTTTAAATTATTTTTACCCCTAATATAAATAATAAATATGTAATTATATGCATCATCAATAATAAAATCAATCTTTTGAACACATAAGTCATAAAACAATTCAAATATTTAAGTCTAAAAACAACTACAAACATAAAAATCCACCATTTGGAGCTTGCAATTATAGTATTTCGGTTTTCGGTCGGAAATTCGGAAATTCGGTTCGGTTGAGAGAACCCTGGTTTCCGAACTATCCATATTTTTCTTCCGAATTCCGAACCGAATAGCATTAATTCAGTTTCGGTTCGGTTTAATTCGGTTCGGGTTTACCGAACCGGTTGCCCACCCCTATCCTGAGCCTACCAGGAGCTAGTTCTGGTATTGAGATTCAAGTTTTGACTAGCTTAGCTCTCTACATTTGCCAGCTTTCTTAATTTGGTCGTCTTGAATTTCCACACTAATCGGCTTGTCTTGTCACTTCAAAGGTCCAACGTATTCGCAGATTAGGTAGAGTATTTCAAGTTGTGGTTATTACGCGTTGGGTCATTTTGGTCTTTGGATAGAGTCTGAAAATCCCAAGGATTTGTTTGACAGGACAGACGTTTGGCTCTATTAGTTGAAGCTTCTTAGTTTCAGCCCAAGGCAATCATCATAATCTGTGGGCAAGTTTGGTGTAAGCAGAGAAGAACCAGATGGAGGATAAGAAACAGAGTCGTCCTCATCACTTCGTGCTGGTCCATGGAGCTTGCCATGGAGCGTGGTGTTGGTACAAGGTTGTTCCTTTACTGGAAAAAGCTGGCTACAAAGTGACCTCTCTCGACTTGGCCGCTTCTGGGATCCATCCAAAGCAGGTTACCGAGCTGCGTTCGATCACAGACTACCTCGCGCCCCTTATGGAGTTGATGTCTTCTTTAGCAGGAGAACCAGAGAAGGTGATCTTAGTTGGGCATAGCTACGGTGGTGTTGGGATATCTGTTGCAATGGAAAAGTTTGCAGAGAAAGTAGCTGTTGCGGTGTTTGTAGCGGCTATTATGCCAGCTCCTCATCCTGATGCCAGCTACTCTGTTTCGAAAGAAGAGGTACTTTTCCCTACTCTTTCTCGTTCTTTATTGGGCAAACTGGTTTTTAAGTTTCACATCTTGAAAGAGATTGGAATCAACGTTTTGGATTTGAATATAAAGTTACAAATTTCTTCTTTTAGGTACAAAAAGTTGCAGACTTTTACTTTACCCATCATCTTTCTCTGAGCAACCCCTACCCCTTTGGTTGCCTTATCTCTGCTTTTCTTTTTGACTCAATCTGCAATTGATTAATCTTCAATTTGTATGCAGTATTTCAAGCGAATAGATTTCATGGATAGCCAGTTCTCATTCCAAGATGGTCCAGAAAATCCTCCGACCAGCATGTTGTTTGGACCCAAGGCGATGTCAACTAAATTGTACCAGCTCTCCCCACCTGAGGTAAAACCTTGAACACCGAGTCTTCAGTTTACATCCATCACTAGATTAGACTGACCATGAGTCACCTCATAACATCTTAATCGTTTAGCTTTAACAATGGTGAAAGTGAGGAGGAGCTTAAGTGACAATTCTGTTTAGCAATTTCAAAGGTGTAGATCGTACTGCCAAATATGTGCTTGGAATCCCACCATTTTGTATGTGTTTTATTTGCTCTTCTAATGTAAACAGCTACCCTTCGGCTTTCTTCTAGTAAGCTGGGTTTTTTTCTTCTACCCAAGATCAAATTGTTATGTTGGACCCAGTAATGGAAATTGCGAACGGTGTGTATATAGTATGAAGGTGCTGAATTAAGTAAATGCTAAAGTTTATACGCGACACAAAGAGGTCGAATTGCTGATGAATTGCAGGGATTAAGATGGTCTTATTACTGTCCTTTGGAGCAGGATTTGACACTGGGAATGATGCTAATAAGACCATTCCCTGTCTTCAAAGATGAGGAAGCAGAAGCTGAAATACCCCTGACAAGAGAGAGATATGGATCGGTTCCTCGAGTTTATGTTATCTGTGAAGCCGACGAGATTGTCAAGCCAGATTTGCAGAGGTGGATGATTGAGAACAATCCTACTGATGAGGTCAAATCCATATCTGGTGCTGATCACATGCCTATGTTCTCAAAACCACATGAGCTCTGCTCTTACCTTTTGGAGCTTGCCAGCAAGTTTGTTTGATGAATGAACCGATTGCCTCGGCTTTCCTGCCCATGGTATAAGACTATAAGTTCATCTGGCCAAGTTACAGTGCTACTGAAGTGTTCTTTGTATGTAGTAGTGGTAATCTAGTAATAAATATCCATGAACTGACCAAAAAAAAAAAAACGTTATAAAGCACCAAAAGAGTGATTGGTGCAAAGCCAATGCTCAAGCCCAGCAGCAAAAGGCCGAACCTGTAACACCCATACTCATGCAACCCCAAAATGAGCTGGCAAATTAATACAAGGAATGGAGTTGCAGTGTCGGTGCTCCCTCCTTCCACTGAAATCAACCCACTCTTGCTTCCATAAGTCACTTAGTCTCTCATCCATAAACCATCCTACTTCCCGGTGCATCTCTCGGCTGCTTCATATCACTACTGCTCCCTCAAAATTCTCATCTCGTACATCCCTCAGTGCCCTCACCATCAACCTTGTCCATCATCGCATCACACAAACCACCACCGATCCGACCCTCCAATCACCACAACTGTTATACCACTCCTTGCTCTCGATCCAAGTAGACGAACACTTGGAAACTACAACCAACGACACCACTCAAGTCGCCAACACGCACGCCGGAAACTGTTGGGTATTAGCGGAAGTAATGGTAATTTAGGATCAAAACAAAGGAAATAATTGGTGTTTAATCACTCAATTTAGGAAGCACACTCAACCAAACAAGGCTTTAACTTTTGGCTCTTGCTTGTTACATACACTAGAATCAATACCCACGGCTACGCCGTGGGGACTTTTAATCGTAATTAACCTTAAAAACAATATACTAATAACATAATAGCTATTGATGAAGTGCTAATTCCAATTTTGAGTGAGTTTGTTGTATAATGGAATAAAGACCCTAATGAATAATGATAATTGTTATCTCCCAACCCAAGAAAGTTTACAAACTCACCATTCCAACTCCTACCTATCTATCTGAAAAATTAGAAGACAGTGAAGATAAATGAACACAGTACAATAAATTTAATTTATCATGACCTTGTGTTGTCCATCTCATGGAGACAACAAAGACTGTGCCAGAGAAAAAGAACCCACATAACCGCACCATTCCACCTTCAATTCATCCAATTGATTCGTTCCTTATGAACCAATAGGTTCGATTCTCCCTCGATTTCCTCAATTTTCCTTCACCTCCGACTATCTTCTTGAATCCAAAGCAAAGCTTGATTCGGAAATGGAATTGCAGATCCAAAGCTTGCTACCCGAGCATACTGCGTTGGTGAATAACCTCATTAGTACCATTGGCTTCAATATTCTCTGGATTTGGAATTCTACAGATGAAAAACAAAAACATATTAGTTAATTGAAGTTCTATGAACTAAACAATAATCTAAACAAAAAATGGACTTAATTGAAAGGGAGAGAAGGAAAAAATGATAATTAAAATTTATAATATATCCTTCGCTTAATCATCCAGCCCATCCAAACTGATTTGGAGAGGGTCCTGAATTCTTTCATCGGAAATGCTTTCTGTCTTGTCTTGTCTTGTCTTGTCTTGCGAAGCATTCATATACTCATTTGCTTCTTCAATATAGAGAAGGACCCAAAACTTTAAGGGCTACGGAACACCCAAAACATAATTGAAGATACTGATGCTATTCCTAGTGGCTATAATGATCGTACATTGATGACCAAATATACGATCTTTCACTTAAGGATTTTATTCTTCTACATCTATACTATCTTTCACCTAAACCCTGGTTCGTTTATATCAAGACCAATAAAAATAAGAACAAAACTTGCGGCAGCTAAGCCTTCAGGAAAATAGTGTTACCCTACAGCTTTTATCATTCGTCTCCTTGACATTTGTTCTTTCCACTGTAACTTGTTGGACGAAGCTCCTCCTTCCCATCTGCAAACTGAAATAGCCGAGACCAAGATGGTGAATTCAAGCTCAAGAACGAACAAATTGAATCAGAACAATGGCTAGCATAAAACAAATCTCATATTTTGGTAACCATGAGAAGTCACAGGCTCACAGCAAAAGTGCCTGATATTGAACACATGTCAGCTTACGTTTTCTTTTTTCGTTGCCAATCTAGCTTGCATTAAGCACACTGTAAAAAGCTATGTTACTGTTTCTCCACTGATGAGTTCCTGAATGACTTAAGTTGTAAGCAATTTCCCCCAAAATTGAAAGTATAGAAAGACATTCAAGTATGGCAAGAGTTTTTATCTCTAGAGAGTAACGACCCTAGTATCGGAATATGAACCTTTCATGGAGTTCATGCTGGAGAGTTCTTATCTCAACAATGAAGCACATCAAATCCCGGAACCAACAGCAGAAATGAAGCTACTACAAATCTGAACTTGAAAGCCCAAAGAAAAAGCTCATTCACAACATACTGGGTCGTTTTCATGATCATCAAAAGAGGCAGCAAGCGCACACTTTAAGGAATCGACGTTCCCCATCTTTCCACCACCTCATGAATTCCTCCGATATCCTGTTACCGAGATAAGAAAACGGACTAAAAAGCAATCAGTATCCAGTTTAGAAATTCAATCCATAGCATTAACAGCAGGGCATCATCTTTGATGAGATCTAGAGTGTCCAAGGTTAGGGCAGCCAACACTCCACAGTAGTCGTTCATGGAGTCACAACTTTGTCGATTCGTAGGTGTTGCACAGGAAAAGCAACAGGACAGTAAATTACAGCTGAGAGAAGAACAAACAAAATTTAGAAATCTCAAAATCCGTAGTTAAGCACAATTGAAGAGTGTAAAGCAAAGTAACTAAGTCATTCAATAAAGTTATCAAAGAAGTGGTAGAATTGACCAAAACAAAGCAAGAGAGAAATAGAACTCCCTTTCCATAAGATAGTTTGAATAAGCAGAATATAAATAGCACAAACTTAATGAAAATCATGGCAAACTAATCAAAGTAATGAGGAAAATGTGTCCAAACATCTACATAATTGAGCATCTCGTCATACTAACCAAGCAAACTCACTAAATATGTATGTTGCAGCTGCCCTACAGCTCCCATTCCATAATTAAACACCTTAGTCTGAACAAAGAAAAAACAGCATGTGGAAAAACCATAACCTCTTACTATAAAAATTAGGGAATTGTGATCGAACCAACAAACATCATTTGTCTCCCAAAATCAAGTGCATATTCCATAACTACCTAATTATTTATAGAATAGCTCCAGCTTTAAAATGATCAAGAATGAAAGCAAATTTCAAACTCAATGATGCAGTGCTAGCGCCACATAGAAAACGAAGATAGCAGTTCCCTCAAGCTTACCAAGTATGCATTTGTACATGAGGAGGGTGGATACAACATGATCTCTTTTTGACACAGAAAGAAGCATCAGACCCGCCTCCAGATCATCCTTTCTGATAAAAAAAACACTAACAATAAGATCATAATCTCCTATTATCGAGGAATCAGTGGCAATAAGTCATTGTTAACTATGAATCTCCTTAGAACATATTCTGAAATTGGAACATATGACAATAAAAGAGATAAGAGGATTGAATCAAGCAAGCTACCTGTTATTGACATTCCATAGAAGCTCTTGCTTCCACCTCCACTGTTAGATATTACCATAATATGGTAATCAAATAGGGAAAATCAAGAAAAGTGAGAAACATGATTATTACTTTTGGGGGTTGCTGTAGGAGGAAGATCCACAGCAAAAGTCAAGAAAAGAGCTCACCACCGTCGTCCGCCTTTTCTACGGCCAGGGAGTTGTGTCCCTTCCAACTTCGGTGGCAATCAAACTGAAACTGCATACCTCTCCTTGGCTTTTCTTTCTGGTCTTTTGCCCCTCCTCCGCTGCCGTCGAGCTTCTTCACTCGTCCAACTTGAATAATCGGCTCTTCGACCAACTCCCACCTCATCCTCCTGCTGCTCGTTCACCACCACCATCTGTTCCTGTTGTCCCTCCCCAATCCCCATGGCTAAGGCTCGAGTACGAAATTTACGAAACCATATCATCAGAATCTTCATCGCTACCTGCGTGCTCTGCAACGAGAGTCCAAAATCGAGAAGGTGAAATTACAAATATCGACAAAAGAATACAGAAATAAGAGTTCACTGTCATAGAAATTGTATCCATCGTTGTTGATCCATGTATAGACGCGACGCAATTTACAGAGCTGGGTCCGTAGAGGGGGAACAGAGTGAGAAAACAATGGAAAAGGAGGTAGACGGTAGCCCCCTGATCGAGTGGAGTAAGGCGAGAGCTGACCGATTCATGGGCGTTGGCGTGCCTGAACATCTGTGAAGAGGTTTCATGGGCAGTGGCGTGTGTCAGCAACGATGAAGACCCGGAAAGTTGGATAACCCGAGTGGAATGGCAAGCACTGGGACAACATAGGTGAGAGGACAGGCATGGAGCTGCGGATTTTGGGGGTACGGTTGCGAAGTAAGGCATGGGCAGCTGGTGGAAGGACGGAAGCACCGCTGGATGAGGGAGAATTGGGAAGCTTTTGGGCGAGAAGCTCTTTCGTTGGTGCCGCAAAACGACAAAAATTGAAACAGTAATTGAAAATTTAGGGCAATAAAGCGTACCCACATTTCATATATAAAAGAATACACACGGCAGAGAGCTCTTTCTTTTTTATTATTTTGTCTCTTGCCCATGCTCTTTCTGATACACTCCATACTTGCAGCATATATATAATGTAAATGAAATGAGAAGAATAAAAAACACACCACTTGCATGCAACATAAATGAGAAATGACATGATTTTAAATATGTCCCGCTGCATTATTTTCTTCTTCTATCTTCTTATCCATTTGTTGTGAGTACTTGCATCATTTGATGGTACCAACTCTTCCACGTTGAGTTGTTGTTGGCAGGACAATCCATCATGCAAATTGGTCCTCCATTTATTATGCATTGATGATTAATAATTCTCCACAATTATCAAACGAACCCACCATGTGTGATGTTTACTACTTGCATATTATTGCAAATTATCAATCAACAGAAACCACGTTAAAAGTTGCCCGATCCTTTCCCCATACGACGTCGCCGCTCACCACGACCCTAGTTCATCGCCTCACATCCACTAGGTAAGGATCACGAAACCACCTCAGTTCTAAAATCAAATCCATCAATAGCTAACCAACTCGACGGTTGTGAACCATAGTCTTGATGGCGACGGCGAGGACGGAAATCTCCGGGTGATAGAACGACAATTGAATCAAGGAAACAACGACTCTAACGACTCAAATCTAGATCTAGGCACGCATACGAGGTAAGAAAACCCAACTCCTCGCATTAAAATTCATGTTTATGCGAGCAATACGAGCTTGTCAAATTCTGGAAATTTAGCGACGGTTTTACAGGTTTTTAGTGACGCACTCTTGGAGCTTTAGTGACTGCCAATCTGACGGTTGCTAAAGATACTGCAGAGCATTTTTATTCATTGCAAGTAAATCCATATAGTTATGCTTGTTTGCACAACATATCCTCAAATTATGTCAAATGGTCGTTTTATTCGTTAAAATATCATAATATTGTAAGTTAAACTAACTAGAGATTATTAAAGTAGAAATCAAGATAATTAGTAATAATTCCTCAGTTTTGGTTACCCAAATAATATGAGTAATGTTGTTAGCACGTGATGAATGAATTAATAGGATTAGCTAATGGGTAAATAATGTGTTATCTAGTTTGATAAATTGATTAGTATAATCTGGAGTTAACCTACGTAGGTTTATGGTAGCACAATTAGTTTTCAATGATTAAGATTGATTAAGACCTTAAATATTATATGTAAAGAATTATGATTCTAATATGTTAGATTAATTGGTACATTAGTATACCATACTTTGCCCATCTTGCATAGTATTCCCAAGTCGAGAAAGCCGTTGCTAAGAACCCAAAACTCAACCAATCTAACTTTGAATTTCACCATAGGGCCAAGAGGAATCAACCAAGTCAAAGGCCCCAACCTTCACGTTGTAACTTATTGAATTAATAAGGTGCGTGGTTTGAGGGGACTAGTTAGTATTTCGCTTTAATCTATCTAATTATGCCATTTAATTAAGTTATGCTCTATATGTATGTTCAAGGTAAGGTTACTTATGTTCAGTAAGCATGGCATTGCATTCCATCATGAAATTACATTTTAAATAAGAAGATACAAGATTATGTTTAAAGCAAGTTTATGGACTTGCTTTCCAAGTTACCAAGTTATTAAGTAAGAATACGTTTTTAACTACTCGCTTGACTAGCAACACACGGCTACCTTACTTCCCGCTAGGTGGAAGTTTATGATTATGACAAATTATGCCGGTGCCGGTCAGTTGCTTAGATAGCACGCGGTTACCTTACTTCCCACTAGGTGGAAGTCTATGATTAAGATGTGTCTTCCCATAAGGTGGAAGCTCACATATATATATATATATGTTACGATCGGTGCCGGTTGGCGTGCTAGTTGAGTCGAGTTCGGGGCCCCCTTTTATATGAAACAATATGAATAATGTATTATGCACTGCACAAGCATATTCATTATTTATCAAGTATGTTATTACAAGTTTTTCTGGCATTAAAGCGAAACTAGGATTAGGACTGACCCTAATGTCCGCACTCAGGAGCTGCAGGGAATCAAGAGGATCTAGATCAAACGCAAGGACATAGCTGCTGCCCAAAATGTCATCACAAGGGTTAGTGACCGGGAAAGCTTCCAGCGAAACTTATTTAAGTTTATGCATTGTTGGTGGACTTGAGACTTAATGAGGATTATGTTTGAATTGGATTTTCTCCTTGTATAATTTAATGTGATTTTATGCATTTACTATTCGACTAATATTAAGGGTATTTTGGTAAAAGTAGTGGCCGGCTGGTCTAGGGTGTTACAGAACCTATCCCCCGCCACCATGGTTGTCAAACCGGTTTCATGACGGCCGGTTCAACCGGTACCGGTCAGCAAACCGGCTGGAAAGGGACCGGTATTTAACTGTGGTCAAATCCAGTCAATGCCGGTCAGATCCGGAAATTCCAGCCGGTTAGACCAGAAACCGGAATTTAATGTTACACACATCATATAAAAAAATAAACATCCTCCATAGGATTTGAACCAAGTACCTCATGTTCATTTTAGTTTAACTTATACACCAGTAGGCTACAAGCAATTTTGTTGTCTATATTAACCTTATATGTTATATATCTAATACTAAATTTTACACAAATCATTATAAACATTAATAAAATTTTATTTTTAAGCATCTAATTGTTTAGTATTAGTTACCAATTCTTAGCTATAAATTATTTTGTGTGAAATAATTCTTCTCGTTGCTTTTTGATGACTAATTTATTTGGAATTGAAGATTTCCATTTTTCTCATGTATTTTATTAAAACCGGCACAACCGACATGAATACTAGTTGTACCACGGTCAGACCATTCCACTTACAAAACCGGCACACCAGCATAAACCGGTTTGACAACCTTGCCCACCACCAATAACAACGAGCCGACGGCGAGTGCTTCACTCAAATCGCAACCCTTATAACTCTCCCGCCCGCCAGCGGATGCACAGCTGCTTATTGTTGTTGGCTGTCAATATCTCTAATTGCAGTCGTCGTCTTCGTCTTAACACCGGTTCAGCAGCCGGCCATGGCAAGGAAGATGATCCTCAACAACTGCACCATCCATCGAAACAACTACTCTCGATTTCATTGGCAAAGGAAAGCCGGTCTGACTGAATCCCCTTATTCTTCTTCTTCTTCTGCTTCTGCTTCTGCTTCTTCCGCAGCTCCTCTCTCGTCTTACTTCGCCTCCAATCGACCTAGACCTCGTACCTCCAATTCTGCCAGTTTCGCCAGCGTAGACGATGCACTGGATTCATTTAACCAGATGCTCCACATGAATCCCATGTTGAGAAACCGGGCAGCAACCACAAGCAAGAATAGAATGCACAAGACACACGATTTTACGTGGAAAACCCAAATCGGGAAAAACCACGGGACCTTTGTCCAAGCCACAACTCCACTAGACTTTGGTGGGATTACAAGTCCTCTCTAGACTAGCTAGAGGATTACAAATACCTCAAGAACAACCTTCTTGGTTCAACAATCAACCACAATAGCTCTCACCAACATGGTGGATAACAAGAACAAGAGCAAGGCAAAGAGAGGTTTAGAGATACCAAAAGACAGATTCGTACACCTTCTGTCCAGGAGCGATTCCGACGAACTAGACCTCAGAATGACGATCCCTCCGGTCAGAATGAAGCCCAGAGAATCTCAGACCCACTGTCCAAATTTCAGGACGATCCAACGGTGCAATATTCCAGAATGCTCACTTGAGCAGACTGCCCTGCTGCAGAAACGAAAAACTCTAGCTCTTTCTCTTCTCTCTTTTTCTTATCTCTTCTCTTTTCTTGATTCTCTCTCTCAAAATGAAAGGTTGTCACCTCTTTTTCACTTTTGAGTAGACAATAACTCTCTATTTTAAAAATATAGGATCTTCTAGAAACCAACCAAAAATCCAAACTCAAACCGGTTAATCCAACCACCATATGAGTTGGACCAACCCAACAAATCTCCCCCTCCAGCTCATATGGGGGGTAGCACCAAACCTGCTTCATCTCGACAGAAGATATGTTTTCCACTTGGTAGAGACTTAGTCATCATGTCCGAGCCATTGTCATCCGTATGCACTTTGTTGAGCTCCAACAGCTTCTCTTCCAAAACATCACGAATCCAATGATATCGAACATCTATGTGTTTTGACCTTGAGTGGAAAGTTGGATTCTTGCAAAGATGAATTGCACTTTGACTATCACAATAGAGCACATAACTCTCTTGCTTGATGCCCAACTCTTGAAGAAACTTCTTCAACCATAACATCTCTTTGCAAGCTTCTGTCACGGCTATGTACTCGGCTTCTGTTGTTGATAATGCAACACATTTTTGCAGTTTAGATTGCCATGAAACTGCAGCACCTGCAAAAGTCATCATGTATCCAGAAGTCGACTTTCTAGAGTCCACATCACCTGCCATGTTAGCATCGGTATATCCATCAAGTATGGTCTTGCCATTACCAAAGCATAAACACACTCTAGAAGTACCTCTCAAGTAGCGAAGAATCCACTTCACTGCTGTCCAATGTTCTTTCCCCGGATTGGAAAGAAACCGACTGACAATCCCAACTGCATGAGCAATATCCGGTCTTGTGCAAACCATAGCATACATCAAGCTCCCAACAGCTGATGCATAAGGCAGATTCTTCATTGCTTCTTTCTCTTCCTCACTTGTAGGACAATGCTTCGAACTCAATATGAAATGTCCTCCAAGTGGAGTACTAACCGCCTTAGCCTTGCTCATGTTGAACCGCTCAAGAACTCTTTCAATATACCTTTCTTGAGACAACCAAATTTTTCCATTCCTCCGATCCCTAGAGATTCTCATCCCTAGAATTTGTTTTGCCGGTCCTAGGTCCTTCATGGCAAAGGATTTACTCAACTCCTTTTTCAATCTATCAATCTCTCCAACATTCCGACCCACGATCAACATGTCGTCCACGTAAAGCAAGAGAATGATGAAATCATTTTCATCAAAGTATTTCACAAACACACAATGATCGGAGGTAGTTCTTGCATACCCGTTTTTGACCATGAATGAGTCAAATTTCTTGTACCATTTCCTTGGTGCTTGCTTCAACCCATATAAGCTCTTTCTCAATCTGCATACAAGATCTTCTTTGCCTTTAACCTCGAACCCTTCCGGCTGGTCCATGTATATCTCTTCTTCTAAGTCACCATGAAGAAACGCCGTCTTCACATCGAGTTGTTCAACTTCCAAGTCCAAACTTGCAGCCAACCCAAGCACAACTCGGATAGAAGACATCTTCACCACGGGAGAGAAAATTTCTTCAAATTCAACACCTTTCTTTTGGTTGAACCCCTTCACAACTAGTCGCGCCCTAAACCGAGGCTTTGAACTAGTTTCCTCCGTCTTTAACTTGTAGACCCACTTGTTCTTAAGTGATCTTTTTCCTTTAGGTAGTTTCACCAAATCATAGGTGTGATTCTCTTGCAAAGACTTCATCTCTTCTTGCATTGCTTTGTTCCACTCCTCCTTGTCTTCATGAGACATGGCTTCTTGATAATATTCGGGTTCTCCCCCGTCAGTCAACAATAGGTACTCATGAGGGGAGTACCAAGTGGAAGTTTTGCGATCTCTTGTTGACTTTCTTGGTTCGGGTAGAGGTTGCTCTTCTTCAACTTGTTCTTCTTGCTCCAATTGCTCTTCTCCTTGCACTTCTTGATCTAGTGCACCTTGGGGCTCATTATGCACTACTTCCTCAACATTTTCATGCATTTGGGATGGAGATATAGGCTCCAAATTAACATGACCAGCTGCTGTATTTTTCTTGTTTTCACCCCTTTCGACATCTTCACTTGTCTCATCTTCAAGAAAAATCACATCCCGGCTCCGAACAATTTTTCTTGCAATTGGATCCCATAATCTGTACCCAAACTCTTCACGCCCATAGCCCATGAATATACATGGCTTTGCTTTGTCATCAAGCTTTGCTCTCTCATCTTTTGGAACATGAACATAAGCTTTGCAACCGAACACTCGCAAGTGCTCATATGAGACTTCCTTTCCCGTCCAAACTCGTTGAGGCACGTCACCCTCCAAAGGGACCGATGGCGAAAGGTTGATTAGATCAATGGCTGTCCGCATTGCTTCTCCCCAAAATGATTTAGGTAGCTTGGCATGTGAGAGCATACACTTGATTCTCTCACAAATTGTTCTATTCATCCTCTCGGCGACACCGTTTTGTTGTGGAGTCTTGGGTACACTTTTCTGCAATTTAATTCCGTGCAATCTGCAATAGCTTTCGAATGGACCTCTATACTCTCCCCCGTTATCAGCCCTTACACACTTCAACTTGAGGCCGGTTTCCCTTTCCACTTCAGCATGAAATTGCTTGAAAACATCTAGCACTTGATCCTTCGTTTTCAAAGCATATGTCCATACCTTCCTTGAGTGATCATCGATGAAGGTAACATAATAGCTTGCACCACCAAGAGTTTTATCTCGCATAAAACAAACATCGGTGTGAATTAGATCAAGTACCTTACTCCTTCTAGAAGGTGAAAATCTATGAAATGCAACTCTATGAGTTTTTCCGGCTAAGCAATCAACACAAGTTTTAAGAAGAGTACCTTTAGCTCCGGGCAAGAGTTGTTTCTTGGACAATACTTGCAGCCCCTTCTCGCTCAAATGACCGAGTCTCTTATGCCAAAGCTCAATGGAAGAATCTTTCTCAACAACATTGATTCCTCCCTTGCTATGCTTTGCATTCGTCATGTAGAGCGTATTTTCCTTCTTGCCTTTAGCCACCACAAGAGAACCTCTTGAGAGCTTCCATTTTCCTTCTCCAAAATAGTTGGTATAACCATCATCATCAAGCTTTCCCGTGGATATCAAATTCAGCCTCATGTCAGGAACATGTCTCACATCCTTCAAGACTAGCTTGCAATCCGTGTTGGTCTCTAGATGAATATCACCAATGCCAACAATCTTTGATGCACCATCATTTCCCATCCTCACACAACCATAGTTACCGTTTGTGTAGGAAGAGAAAAAATCAACCCGTGAGGTCACATGGAATGAGGCACCCGAGTCAACAACCCATGTACTCTCTTGACAAGCAAGGTTAACAAAACCAGCATCACAAACAATGACTACATCACCATCTGTGGCAGCAGCAGTAGTATCATCTTTTTCTCGGTTTTCCACACCTTTTCCTCTAGCTTGTTCCCGTTTCAAGATTCTGCACTCTCTCTTCATGTGTCCGGGCTGGTTGCAATGATAACATGTGATATCTCCTCTTGGTCTTGACAATGATTTTGATCTCCCTTTTGATCTCCCTCGGCTGTTACTTCGATTCTGAGAGTTCTTGAAGTTGAAATTTCGATTTCTACTTCTTCCACGACTTCCAGAATTATCCACCACCAAAGCACGTGACTCCGATGTAATACCCAACTCTTTTCTCCTTGCCTCTTCATTCAGCATGCTATCCTTGACAATGTCCATCGTCAACTTGCCATTAGGTGCTGAGTTGCTAAGTGAGACCACCAAAGTCTCCCAACTATCCGGCAAAGAACTGAGAAGTAACAATGCTTGCACTTCATCATCAAGTGCTAACTTCATAGTAGTTAGCTGGTTCACAAGCTCTTGAAAGTCACTCAAATGCTCAGAGACACTATGCCCATCCTTGTACTTCAAGTTCACAATTCTTCGAATGAGTGAGGCTTTATTTTGAGCCGATTGCCTCTCATACATGGACTCCAATTTCTGCCACAATTCATCTGCTCTTGTATCTTTTGCAACATGATGAAAAATGCTTTGGTCAATCCATTGTCGAATGATTGCCACCGTCTTTCTATGCAAGACTTCCCATTGCTTCTCGGTCTTGTCTTCCGGCTTCTCGCTGCCATTTTCAATTGGCTCATAGAGATCCTTGCAAAACAGAATATCCTCCATCCGTGGCTTCCAAATAGAGTAGTTGGATCATGTCAACTTGATCATTGCTCCACTTGAGTCATCCATTCTTGCCATTCACCAAACACAGCCCCCAAACAACCTAATGCTCTGATACCACTGTTGAGAAACCGGGCAGCAACCACAAGCAAGAATAGAATGCACAAGACACACGATTTTACGTGGAAAACCCAAATCGGGAAAAACCACGGGACCTTTGTCCAAGCCACAACTCCACTAGACTTTGGTGGGATTACAAGTCCTCTCTAGACTAGCTAGAGGATTACAAATACCTCAAGAACAACCTTCTTGGTTCAACAATCAACCACAATAGCTCTCACCAACATGGTGGATAACAAGAACAAGAGCAAGGCAAAGAGAGGTTTAGAGATACCAAAAGACAGATTCGTACACCTTCTGTCCAGGAGCGATTCCGACGAACTAGACCTCAGAATGACGATCCCTCCGGTCAGAATGAATCCAAAAGAATCGTGGACCCACTGTCTAAGTTTCAGGACGATCCAACGGTGCAATCTTCCAGAATTCTCACTTGAGCAGACTGCCCTGCTGCATAAACGAAAAACTCCAGCTCTTTCTCTTCTCTCTTTTTCTTATCTCTTCTCTTTTCTTGATTATCTCTCTCAAAATGGAAGGATGTCACCTCTTTTTCACTTTCGAGTAGACAATAACTCTCTATTTTGAAAATAGAGGATCTTCTAGAAACCAACCAAAAATCCAAACTCAAACCGGTTAATCCAACCACCATATGAGTTGGACCAACCCAACATCCCAGGCCTTCAATTCTGCAATTTAACCGGTTAGTGTCTTCTCTTCTCAGAATGAATGCCTTCCAGGCTGCCTCGGATGTGTTTAAACAAATGGAATTAGCTGGAGTTCCCCTTAGTATTTACTCGCTTAACGTGCTGATTGATTGCTTCTGCAAATTGGGTAGTGTGGGTTTTGGCTTCTCAGTTTTGAGCAAAACTTTCAAACTTGGTTTTCAACCTGATGTTGTCACGTTCAGTACATTGATTGATGGGCTATGTAAAGTTGGAAAAGTCGTTGAGGCTGTGAGGTTGGCTGATAAAATTAGGATTCTGGGGTGTCCACTGAATGTGGTCACTTACAACACAATCATCTGGGGACTGTGTAGGGCAGGACAGACAAGTATTGGACTTGAATTGCTCGGAAAAATGGTAAAGTTTGGGTGTGAACCTGATGTGGTTAGTTATAGCACAGTCATCGATAGCCTCTGTAAGGATGGAATGGTATCGAAAGCTTTGGACATGTTTCTCGAGATGAGGGATAAGGATATTTTGCCAAATGTTGTTTCTTACAATTGCTTGATTTCTGGTTTATGTATCTCAAGCCAAAGGAATGAAGCTATGAAGTTGTTGAATGAAATGATGGCTAATAAGATCATGCCTTATGTAGCTACCTTCAACATGATGATTAATGCTTACTGTAAGAAGGGAGATGTTCTGGAGGCTAAAGCTATTGTCAAAATGATGATTGAAAGAGGACTGTTGCCAGATGTCATCACTTACAATTCGTTGATGGATGGGTATTGTTTGCGCAACGAATTAGACAAAGTTGAACAGTTATCTGATTTCATGGTGAACATGGGATGCAAATCTGACGTTTATAGTTATAGTGTTATGATTCATGGATATTGTAATGCTCAGAGGATGGATGAGGCTGAAGAATTAGTTAACGATATGCTTGAGTGGGATTTGAATCCAAATACAGTTATATATAATGTAAGTGAATCTGGAAAGCTGAGTCTTTACATTACTGAACAGTGGGTCTTATACAAGTACAGCAGAAACAGAAAGAGCAAAACCTACGCAGAGGTTGCTACAAAGAAGGAAAAAACTCAAACGGTTACATAGTGGAGAATCTATTCTGTTCCACTTAATACTCTCTCTTATCACGCCCCCGCAAGTGGAACCTCGACGAGGTGAAACTTGGAGCAGAAAGTCCGGAAGGGAAGGCGAGACAGAGGTTTCGTGAGGACGTCTGCGAGCTGATCCGTGGCTGGAAGATACCGAACATGTAATTGCTGCTTGTTGACTCTGTCACGGACAAAGTGAAACTCGATTTCGAGATGCTTCGAGCGAGAATGGAAAACTGGATTATGAGCAAGATAAGTGGCCCCCAGATTGTCACACCAAAGAACAGGGGCTGAAGTGGACTGTCCGAGCTCACTGAGGAGAGCTTGAAGCCAAACGACTTCGGATGCTACCGTGGCAAGAGCCCGATATTCACATTCGGTGGAGGATCGAGCCACAGCCTGTTGCTTCCGGGTAGACCAGGAAACCAAATTCTTGCCGTAGAAGACTGCATAACCAGAGATGGACTTACGATCGCGGGGACAGGAGGCGAAAGATGCATCGGAATAACCATGGAGCTGTGGCCGAGAAGATCGCTGGAAAATGAGACCCTGAGTGAGCGTGCCTTGTAGATATCGGAGAATGCGCTTGACGGCTGTCCAATGAGCATCAGTCGGACATTGCTGGAATTGGGACACATGGTTGACAGCAAAGGATATGTCGGGGCGGGTGAAACTCAAGTACTGTAGGCCACCAACAATGCTCCGGTAAAAACTCGGATCATGAAAGGCAGGAGAGACATCGGACGCACTTTGGATCAGCTGGTCAGCCGTGCAGGGTGTAGTAATAGAATTCGAATGAGACATCCCAGACCTATCAAGCAGTTCCAGAATGTATTTCCGTTGATTGAGAATAAGACCATCAGAAGTATAGTGTACCTCCAATCTGAGGAAATAGGACAACCGCCCAAGATCACGGAGGGAAAATTTAGACCGGAGGTGAAGCAAGAGCTGCTGAAGAACCCCGGAATTACTGCCTGTGATGACAATGTCATCCACATACACAAGCATATATAAGACAGTAGTGGGAGTGCGATAGATGAACAGAGAAGGGTCAGTCTTGGAGGCAACAAAACCAAACTCACGAATGGCCTGAGATAAGCAGGTAAACCAGGCCCGAGGAGCTTGCCGCAAGCCGTAAATAGACTTTCGCAGACGACAGACGTGATCAGGGCGATCCGGATCGACAAAACCAGTGGGTTGCTGCATATATACCTCCTCCTGCAAGGTGCCATGTAAAAATGCGTTGGAAATATCAATCTGGTGAAGCGGCCAGGAGTGGGAAACTGCAATGCCGAGCAATAGACGAAGCGTGGCTGGTTTCAACACTGGGCTGGATTGCAATCTGGTGGAGGGGGAACTAAATCCCAGGTATGATTTCGAAGCAGAGCATCAAATTCCATGGTCATTGCGGCACGCCAACGAGGGGACTTAAGGGCCTGCGCATCAGTGGTGGGTAAGCCAGGAGGGGGGCGGCAAGGAACTGTCGGGGTTTCAAATTGCCCGTCTGAGTACGAGTGGTCATTCGGCGGGGAGGAGGGGGCTGGACGGGAGCAGGAATGATGCGGGGAGAGGTGTTGAAGGGAGGTCGAGAGGAAAGAGGAGTGATCGGAGGGGGGATGATTCGAGACTGGGAAGGGACGGGCAGAGAAGGGACTGGGGACGAGGCAGGGTTGGGAGTAGGATGAGGACGGCGGTGGTATTGAAGAAGCGGCGGGGGAGAGGAGGCGGTTGGTCTCGGACGGCGATGGTACTGGAGGAGGGGCCGAGCAGGGGGAGGCGGGGGAGGAATAGGAGCAGTGGGCTGGATGTGAGGTGAGGATTCTATGGGCTGAGTGGGCTGGATCGGTAGAGGTAGTGTAGGAAGTGTAGTGGGCTCGGTGGGCTGAGTGGGGTGAGGTAAGGAAGTGGGCTCGGTGGGGGAGATTAATGGTGGAGAGGTGGGCTGTGGGCTGGGCTCGGTGGACTGAGGGTTAGAAATGGTCTGGGCAGGAGACGGATAAGGAAGGGAAGGAGAAGGTGATGGGCCGAGGAAGGATAGTGGGGGGGGGGAAGGGAAATGGGCTCGGGTAAGAAAGCAGCAGGGTTAATAGTGTCAGGGGAAGGGGTGGGGTATCTCGAAAAGGAAAAACAGATTCATCAAAGAGTACATGGCGACTGACATAAATACGGCCAGTTGAACGATCAAGACATCGATAACCTTTATGTAAATGACTATAACCCAAGAAAACACAGGGAGTAGAACGAGGTAGGAGTTTATTAGATGTGAGAGGACGAAGCCAAGGATAACACAAACAACCAAATACACGTAGATTGAGAAGATCAGGAGAAGTATGAAATAAGGTTGTGAAAGGGGAGGAATTTTGAAGAAGAGGAGTAGGAGTACGATTAATGAGATAACAGGCCGTATCGAAAGCAAGAGACCAATATTTGAGCGGAACATGGGCCTGATGTATAGCAAGGCCATTATTAACAATGTGACGATGCTTCCGTTCGGCACAACCATTCTGTTCTGGGGTATAGGGGCAAGAGGAGCGGTGAATTATACCATTATTGGAAAGATAAGAGGTCAATGCTTGATATTCACCACCCCAATCAGATTGGAAAATTTTAATAGGAAGACCGAAAAAATTTTCAACCATTTGCCGAAATTGGATAAACACACTGAGAAGTTGAGACTTATAGCGCACAAAATACACCCAGCTGAATTTACTATAATGATCATAAAATAATATATAATAGGATTGATGATCAAAAGAAAGAAGAGGTGCAGGACCCTAAAGATCACTACAAATAAGTTCCAATGGCGCAGAGGCACGAAATTGAGAGGAAGGAAAAGGAAGTTTGTGAATTTTGCTAACAGAACATCCATGGCAAAGAGAAGCAGAAGAATCATGGTAATTTATTGAATTAGAAGACAAAAGATGCTTAACAGCACGAAGATTCGCATGACCCAAGCGTTGATGCCACAGATCAAGGGAGGCAGTGAAAGCTCGAGGAACGGCGCGACTTTGAATATGAAGGGGCAGAGAATAGAGTCCATCAGCCGCAGAGCCTCGATAAAGTTCAGCCTTCGTGCGGCGGTCCTTGATGACAAAATAGGAATCAAAAAATTCAATCGAAATGGGATTAGTGCGAGTCAACGAGCTAACAGAAAGAAGATTATGAGGAGCATTTTGAACATGAAGAATATTATTGAGAGAATAAGAAACATTTGAAAGAGAGGCATGCGAGGAGCCAGAATGAGAAATAGGAAGTCGTTTACCATTGCCAAAGGTAACTTGATCGGTGCCAGTGTACTCAGAGTGATGAACCAGATTATCGAGATCAGAAGTCAAGTGATGGTTAGCCCCGGAATCGAGAAGCCATTGTTGAGATTGAAGAGTTGGTTGAGGGGATTAGGCTAAGTGGGAAGATGGGCCAGAGGGGTAAATAGGTTGGTGCTGGTAGAACGGGCTTGGACAATGGGGCCTGGTATGCCCCCTTCCTCCACAATTATGACACACAAGTGGAGATGGGCCGGGAGGCCCAGCCCCTAACACTCCAGCCGCAGCGGGCCTAGAACCAGGAGACATGGGCCGAGGACCTGCAAAAGAATGATGAAAATTCCCTCGGCCCATTAAAGGAAACCCTCGGCCAAACGAGCGCCCCCCACGTTGACGAGGAAAGCGGCCAGCTCCACGACCGCGGCCACCATAGAACGCCTGGGGAGACGCGCCACCACCAGAAGCCGACTGAAAACGGCGGAGCTGCAACTCCTCGCTGAGCAAGAGGCTACTGAGATCAGCAAAGGAGATCGGCTCAAGACGGGCTTCGAGATTCCGAGTAAATGGACGATAGTCCTCATCCAAACCATCAATAACGGAGGTCACCAGCTCTGCCTCCTTAATCGGATCACCAAGCGCCACCATCTTGTCGAAAGTGGTTTTGGCACGGAGAAGATAGTCATGCGCCGAGTCCGTCCCACGGTGAAGGTGGTGAAGATCACGACGGAGTTGGCCGACAATGACTGGGGAACCAGCAGCATAGACAGCGGCGAGCGTGTCCTAGGCCTCCTTCGCAATATGCTTATTGACGATATGAGGCATAACAGCTTCCGTCAAAGAGAGATTGATCCAGATCAGAATCAATTGATCACGCTCATACCACTCTTGAAAGGCAGGATTCGGCTGATCATCCACCGTTTGGGGCGGCGCAGGAAGCGTGCCGTCGATGTGACCGTCGAGACGGTAACAACGAAGAAGCGGTTGAAGCTGTGCCCGCCATAGGAAATAATTCGTCGGGGACAGCTTCACCGTCAATTGGGGGTTGGACGGCAAGGAGATGGGGAATGAAGAAGAAGAAGAAGAGGCAGCTAGAGAAGAGAAAGAAGCAGAAATAGTTGACATGATGCGGTGGCAGGGGAAGAATAAGAACAGAAAAGTGGGAGAAGGGAATCAGAAAAATCAGCACAGCACTCGTTGGAGTCTACTGAGCTCTGATACCATGTAAGTTAATCTGGAAAGCTGAGTCTTTACATTACTGAACAGTGGGTCTTATACAAGTACAGCAGAAACAGAAAGAGCAAAACCTACGCAGAGGTTGCTACAAAGAAGGAAAAAACTCAAACGATTACATAGTGGAGAATCTATTCTGTTCCACTTAATACTCTCTCTTATCATATAATACTCTGATTACGGGATTTTTCCGAGCAGAGAGACTGAAAGATGCACACAGGCTTCTAAAAAAATGCACAGTCAAGGTTTCTCCCCAACTATCGAGACATATGGAAGTTTGTTACATGATTCGTGTAGGTGAGGTGATGTTGACGCCGCACTGGCTCTATTTCAAGCAATGGAAAATAGCTGGTTGAAGCCTAATGTTGTTTTGTATACCACTCTTATCGATGGGTTGTGGAAAGCAGGGAGGGCTCAGGAAGCAAAGGACATGTTCTCGAGGCTATTGAAAGACAATTCCTTACGACCTAGTACCCATACTTATAGCGTAACAATTGGTGGGCTTTGTAGACAAGGTTTGGTAGATGAAGCATATGATCTGTTCCGAAAAATGGAACTGGATGGTTGTCTACCAGATAGTTTCTGTTATAACAGAATTATTCATGGATTTCTTCATGACAAGGACCCACATGAAGCAGTGGCCCTTATTCAGGAGATGGTCTCTAAAGGTTTCTCAGCTGACACAACCACAATGTCCTTGCTTATACAAGTATTGCCCAAAAATCAGTTGAATCATCCGCTTGTCCAAAAGCTGCTGAATGGTCCAGATATCAACATTCAGGAAATAGAGTCTTAACTGTCTATCAGCTGCTGCAACTCAAGGTGCTTGTCTTAATGTAAAAAGTTGAGACCTTTCTGAGCAACATTGTCGAAGACGTTTTTTTCTTGTGGTAGCCAAATAGCCAATGCCTTGAATGTAATTATGGGTCGTCTTAGATTTTACTAATGAAGCAAAATTGCCCTTAAGTTGAGCATATGTTGAATACTTCCTTTGTGTCTGTTTATGGTAATCTCTGGAGTTCTGAACTGCCACAGTAAGGTTGAACTTAGACTGTTTTTCAAATGCAAGGAGGAAACTGAAACATGCGTAGTCAATGGCTCTCTTTACTGCCTTCTGAAATGGAGAGACAACTGAACTGCGAACAATTGTAGGCAAAATATTTGTGTTAATCTGTTGCTTTGCTTTTCTATCGCCCTTCCCTTTTGTAGGTGTTTAAGGGCTTCCGGCAGTTGCATGGCATTTAGTCAGAGAGTTCTCTGTCGAAGGAAATGCTACGGATAGTTTACCTCAAAAAAAAGGCACAAAATCTTGGCAGATGGTTCTGCATTCCAGGCAGACCAATCCTCTGTGGCAACAATCATATCTGTATCTCCCTCTCGTAAAAATATAGTTAAGATAGATTCTGACAGTAGTTTTTTTCGAAAAAGAGATTCTGACAGTAGTTATATGCAAAATGATAGCAGAAGGCATGCGTTCATCGGGGCCAAAGAATGTCTGCTATCTTTGAAAGTTTCTATAGAAAATCTTCACCAGAATATAATCTTAAAGTTCTCCTACAATGGTGTGTTATCTGTTGGTATTGATGCCTCAAATTAATTCAAGACTTGGAGTTATGGAAGACACTTGAGGTTACTTGGGGTTATGAAAGTTAATGACCACATGGAGTTAATTGTGTGGAGTTTCCATTTGGTTAATGGGAGTGCCGTTCACTTTTTCTTTGGCATCTCATAAGCCATTTTGCATGGCTATAAATAGAGAGTCTATTGTTGTTGAATAGACACACCAATTCCATCCAACTCCTTTCTTCTCCTAAAGTGTAGAATATCTTCTTGAGTACTTTTCTTTTATGTTGGGAGTTTTCTACTTACTCCACAACTTTGTACGTTGAAGATTATTCCTTGATCATAGTGGATTTACTGGCTTGTCCAGCCCGTGGTTTTTCTCCCTCTTCTTTGGAGGGTTTTCCACGTAAAATTGGTGTCTTGTCTTTGTTCATTCTCTTCTCTGTTTTCTTGTTCGATTTCATATTGGGTTTGCTTCCGCTAGTGCTCATTTATATCCAGGTTCAAAAGTCTTTAAAAGACAACAAGTGGTATCAGAGCCCTTGACAACCAATTGAAATCCTCGACAAGATGACTGCAAAGTTTGACATTGAGAAGTTTGATGGCAAGATATCATTCTCGATATGGAGAATTCAAATGAAGGCAATTTTGACACAAAATGGTGTTCAAAAGGCTTTACTTGGTCTCGAAGCCAAACCAGAGACCTTGACTGATGTCCAATGGGAAGAGCTCGATGAAAAGGCTCTTACTGCTATTCAATTATGCCTGTCAAAATCGGTTTTGCAGGAGGTGGTGAGTGAGACAACTGCAATTGGACTTTGGACAAAATTAGAGTCACTTTATATGACGAAAAGTCTCGCTAACAAGCTTCGTCTAAAAGAGAAGTTGTACACTACTCGTATGGCTGAAGGTACTCCAATTCAAACCCATCTTTCTACCTTCAATTCCATTGTTATGGACTTGGAAAATATTGACGTGAAAATTGAAGATGAGGATAAAGCTGTTTTATTAATATGCTCATTGCCCCAGTCCTTTAAACACTTTAAAGAGATCATGCTCTATGGAAATATGGATACTTTGTCTTATGAAGATGTAAAATCTAACTTACTGTCAAAAGAAAAATTTGACTTTGAGTCCAGTTCTAATGACAAAGGTGAAGGTCTATTTATAAGAGGAAGATCCAAGGAAAAAGGGGAATCAAGCAAAGGTAAAGGTAAAGCTCGATCCAAGTCAAATGGTCGAAAATCTGATGATGGGAAGTACTGTCGCTATTGTCGCAAAACTGGTCATGAAATTTCAAATTGTTTCAAATTAAAGGCCAAAGAAGAAAAGAAAAAGCAATCTCAAAAGGCTTCTGAAGCCGGAGAAGCTAGTATCGTCAATGACGATTCTGATGGTGAAGGTTTGGCAACAATTTCTTCTTACGATGGCAGTAATTCGGATGTTTGGGTTCTTGATTCTGCATGCACTTTTCATATTTGTCCCAATAAGAACTGGTTCAAAACACTTAAACCTGTTAATTCTGGTGTTGTGCTAATGGGAAATGATGATCCTTGCAAAGTTCTTGGTATTGGTACAATTGAAATGCGTCTTCATGATGGGGTTGTCAGAACTCTTTCTGATGTTCGCTATGTTCCTGACATGAAGCGAAATCTTATTTCTTTAGGCACCCTCGAGTCTCTTGGGTGCAGATATGGAGCTGAAGGTGGAGTTCTTAAGGTATCTAGAGGTTCTCTTGTTCTGATGAAAGCTAACCGCATTGGTATGATATATGTCCTGCAAGGTTCTGTTGTTACAGGTTCAGCAGATATTTCTACCTCGCTGCTTGATTCACATAATACTCAATTATGGCATATGCGGCTAGGACATATGGGTGAAAAGCCAATGACAGTTCTAAGCAAGAGAGGACTATTGGGGAACCAAAATTTTGAGAAACTTGACTTTTGTGAACATTGTATCTTCGGGAAGAAGAAAAAGGTCAGTTTCTCTCCTGCTTCCCATAGTTCCAATGGGGTGCTTGATTATATTCACTCGGATTTATGGGGACCCTCTAAATTTCCTTCCATAGGAGGTCGTAGATACATGATGACAATTATTGATGATTTCTCTCGTAAAGTTTGGGTTTATTTCTTACGGCACAAAAATGAAGCCTTTTCTGCATTTAAAAAGTGGAAAGTGCTAGTTGAAACTCAATCAGGAAGGAAAGTTAAGAAGCTTAGAACTGACAATGGATTGGAATTCTGTGAAAATGAGTTTAATGAATTTTGTTCCTCACATGGAATCGGAAGACACAAAACTCTAGTTAAAACACCTCAGCAAAATGGTGTTGCCGAAAGACTTAACAGAACAATTCTCGAAAGGACTCGGTGTATGATGTCAAATGCAGGTTTATGGCATAGACGTGATTTATGGGCAGAAGCTGCAGCAACAGCTTGTTATTTAATCAACCGTTCTCCACATAAGTCGTTGGATTATAAAATTCCAGAAGAAATTTGGACAGGTAAACCAGTTGATTATTCCAAATTAAGAATATTTGGTTGCCCATCATATTATCACGTAAATGAGGGTAAGCTCTCTCCAAGAGCTAAAAGGTGTTTATTTCTGGGATATTCTATGGAGTCAAAAGGCTATCGTTTTTGGTGTATTGAATCTCACAAGGTTATTCAAAGTAGAGATGTTACATTTAATGAAGATGCCTTATTTTCTGTCAAAGATGGTACTTCTTCGTCCCATGATGCAGAAAATCTTGAGACTCCAAGAGACAAGGTGGAGTTCGAACAACAAGATTCACCTACCCATCTATCTTCTCTAGAGTTAAATCCTAGTGAAGTTCAAAATGAGGAAATGCCACCTCAAGTGCCACAAGATTATATCTTGGCTCGAGATCGGCCAAGGAGAGTTATACAAAAACCTGCTCGATATAGAGATGATGAGCTTGTTGCGTATGCTCTCGCCGTTGCACAAGAAATTTCAGAAGAAATTGAGCCTTCTTCTTTCAAAGAAGCTATATCTTGTGTAGATTCATCTAAATGGCTTGCGGCAATGAATGAAGAAAACGAAAGTTTGTTGAAGAATAATACATGGGAATTATGTATCCTTCCTACGGGGAAGAAAGCACTTTCAAATAAGTGGATATACAAAAAGAAAGAAGGAATTCCCGGTATTGAAGAGGCAAGATGGAGGGCGCGGTTGGTTGTTCGCGGCTGCAACCAACGTGAAGGTATTGATTTCAATGAAATCTTTTCTCCTGTTGTGCGTCACACTTCCATAAGAATTTTGCTCTCTTTTGTTGCTCTCTTTGATTTGGAGTTAGAGCAACTTGATGTGAAAACTGCTTTCCTTCATGGTGATCTCGAGGAGGAGATATACATGAAGCAACCAGAAGGCTTTGTGATTCCAGGAAAGGAGCATATGGTTTGTCGCTTGAGAAAATCATTATATGGTCTCAAGCAAGCTCCTAGACAATGGTATAAGCGTTTTGATACTTTTATGATTGGAAATGGTTATACACGAAGTCAATTTGATAATTGTGTATACTTCCAAAAATTTCCCGAGGGCTCCTACATTTATCTACTTCTTTATGTTGATGACATGCTTATTGCTTCTAAGAACAGAATGTTGGTCGAAAGGTTAAAGTCACAACTAAAAGGAGAATTTGAGATGAAGGACCTTGGAGCAGCAAAGAGGATTTTAGATATGGAGATCCAAAGAGATCGACAAGCTGGTAAATTATTTTTGAACCAAAGAAAGTACATTGATAAGGTACTTGAAAGGTTCGGAATGATTGATTGTAAGCCCACTTCTACTCCTCTCGCTGCTCATTTCAAGTTATCTGCTGCTTATTGTCCAACAACAAATGAAGAAGTGGATTATATGTCTAGCGTTCCATATTCGAGTGCAGTTGGTAGTTTGATGTATGCTATGGTCTGCACAAGACCCGATCTTGCATATGCAGTAAGTGTTGTCAGCAGGTATATGCAAAATCCAGGAAAAGAACATTGGAATGCTGTGAAGTGGATACTTCGGTATTTGAAGGGAACCCGTGATATGGGTCTATTGTTTGAGAGGAGTGAAAATCCTTCCAACAATATTATAGGCTTCACAGATTCTGATTTTGCAGGTGACTTAGATAAACGGAAGTCCCTTTCCGGATATGTTTTCACTCTCTGCAATTCATGTGTTAGCTGGAAATCTTGTTTGCACCCCGTAACTGCTTTGTCAACTACAAAAGCAGAGTATGTTGCTATTTCTGAGGGGGTTAAAGAGGCTATTTGGTTACGTGGCCTAGTTATTGAGCTTGGAGTTGAACAAACTGTTTCAACCGTATTTTCGGATAGTCAAAGTGCCATTCACTTGACTAAAAATGACATGTATCATGCGAAGACAAAACATATAGAAGTCAAGTACCACTTTGTCCGAGATGTTATGGTTGCAGGTGATATTAGTGTGAAGAAAGTTCATACTGACAACAATCCTGCAGATATGCTCACTAAAGTTCTTCCTTCAACTAAGTTTGATCGTTGTTTGAACTTAGTTGGAATTCGAAGAGCTTGATTACCTCTCAGAGGTTTCTGGACAAGTCTTTCTAAATTTGATTCAAGGTGGAGATTGTTGGTATTGATGCCTCAAATTAATTCAAGACTTGGAGTTATGGAAGACACTTGAGGTTACTTGGGGTTATGAAAGTTAATGACCACATGGAGTTAATTGTGTGGAGTTTCCATTTGGTTAATGGGAGTGCCGTTCACTTTTTCTTTGGCATCTCATAAGCCATTTTGCATGGCTATAAATAGAGAGTCTATTGTTGTTGAATAGACACACCAATTCCATCCAACTCCTTTCTTCTCCTAAAGTGTAGAATATCTTCTTGAGTACTTTTCTTTTATGTTGGGAGTTTTCTACTTACTCCACAACTTTGTACGTTGAAGATTATTCCTTGATCATAGTGGATTTACTGGCTTGTCCAGCCCGTGGTTTTTCTCCCTCTTCTTTGGAGGGTTTTCCACGTAAAATTGGTGTCTTGTCTTTGTTCATTCTCTTCTCTGTTTTCTTGTTCGATTTCATATTGGGTTTGCTTCCGCTAGTGCTCATTTATATCCAGGTTCAAAAGTCTTTAAAAGACAACATTATCCTCACTTCTTCTGCCTTCTTATTGAACTTTAGTGATCAATGAACCAAAAGTGTGTGAAATATGAGATCATATTTCTCATTCAGTAGCAACTTAAATTCATTGTATCAGTTTCCGATTGCATGAAATTTTGGTTGGTTGGTTGGTTCATTTTTGTAGGTTGACAAAATATGAGGAACTCTGTAGCAGTGACGATGACTTTTCCTAGGCTACTTCCTTAGAGAGAACCATCTTTTCTATTTGAAGGGAAGATCACTAAAATAGCATGCTGGGTGTTCAACTCAATATTCCAAGGTGTGGCTCCAAGTAACCTATGTTTACGGAAGAAAGATCAAATCTTTCGAACAAACTCTAACTGAATCGGACAGGTCGCACTGTTGGACTTGGACCTGACGGGTGTTCCTGTTGATAGTCAATAGAATTTTCTGGTTGCCGAGGACCAGGAGCTAGTTCTGGTAGGTTCAGGATTTCACTAGCTTAGCTCTCGAAAGATCCCAAGGATCTGTTTGACAGGACCGACGTTTGGCTTTATTAGTTGAAGCTTCATAATTTTGAGGGCAAGTTGGGAGTAAGCAGAGAATACCCAGATGGAGGACAAGAAACAGAGTCGTCTTCATCACTTCGTGCTGGTCCATGGAGCTTGCCGTGGAGCGTGGTGTTGGTACAAAGTTGTTCCTTTACTGAAACAAGCTGGCTACAAAGTAACAGCTCTCGACTTGGCCGCTTCTGGGATCCATCCAAAGCAGGCTACCGAGCTGGGTTCGGTCTCGGACTACCTCGCGCCCCTTATGGAGTTGATGGCTTCCTTAACAGGAGGAGGACAAGAAGAGAAGGTGACTTAGTTGGACATAGTATGGGTGGTGTTGGGATATTTGCTGCAATGGAAACGTTTGCAGAGAAAGTAGCTGTTGCGGTGTTTGTAACGGCTTTTATGCGTGCCAACTCCTCATCCTGGTGTCGGCTACTCCCTTCCAAGAGAAGAGGTACTTTTCGCTTCTCCTTCTCGTTCTTCATTCGGTAAACTGGTTATAGAGTTGCAGACATTCAGTTTACCCATCATAAATTCTACGAAAAATTTGTATGCAGTGTTTCAAGCGACTAGATTTCATGGATATCGAATACTCTCGTTCCATGATGGTCCCGAAAATCCTCCGACCAGCATGTTGTTTGGACCCAAGGCGATGGCAACTAAATTGTACCAGCTCTCCCCACCTGAGGTAAAACCCTGAACACCCAGCCTTCAGTTTACATCCATCACTAGATTAGACTGACCAGGAGTCACCTCAGAGCATCTTCATCGGTTAACTTTAACAATTGCGTAAGTGACGAGGAGGTTAAGTAACAATTTTGTTAATACGCGACACAAGCAGGTTGACATTTAAATTGTTGATGAAGTGCGAGGATTAAGATGGTCTTATTACTGTCTTTTGAAGCAGGATTTGGCACTGGGAATGATGCTAGTAAGACCCTGCCCTCTCTTCAAAGATGGTCTTATTACTGTCTTTTGGAGCAGGATTTGAAACTGGAATAATTCTGATTCTCAAATGTTAACATTAACTGATAGCATTGAACAACCCGATGCCCTTCTCAAAGGCGACAATAACCCCAGAATCAGAAATGATGATTTGTTATCATCTACACATTACTACGTTGCGCTCTCATTTCGTCGAGCAGTCAATATGGGCTACATTTGGTTGATCACTCGGCTGAACCACCTTCTTTCTGAAGCTGAGCATCACAACTCTGCCAATCCTCATCAGCAACTTCCAGCAGGCACTGATAGAGCACCTTTGGCTTTGACAGCATAGCCATGTGGTCAGCTCCTTCAATGTACTTCACCTCATCTGGTGGGTAGCTCTTAATGATCCTTTCCTGGAATTCCTGCTTCGTCAGGACATCATCTTTGCACACAATGTATACCCTCTTCACAGAACCATATTGAGCCTCACTCAGCAGGGATTCCTTGGACATGTCTCCCAGGAAGAACTTGAATGGCCTAATCATCAGCTTGGCCAGCTCCAGATCCTGCAAACACACCAAGTATTAGCACGTTTTGATTATAGTTTCTTTATAGAACAACATTGATTGCAGAACATTATTAGTGGAAGCTAGAGGAACTTGCCTCTGGCTGGCAGTTTGTGTACATCAAGGTTTCCAGGTAAACTGGCCCGAAAAGTGCTGATATCGGAAGCCTTTCCTGTTCTTTGTCAAATTCTACTTCACATAGTGCAAAGACCTCCTCTGGTGTCTTCTCCAGGATCTGTTTTACCGTACAACATTAGTAGCAGCACCAATGAAATAACCACCATTTACATGGTAGAGTAGAAACAAATATGAAGTTTCGAGACATAACGTTTGCGCCACTGAGCTTTACCAAGGATGTGACTACTTATACAGCGTCAATTTTTCAATATTCGCGCAGAAAGAGGTCTCGTAATATCGAACTCGAGGCTCTGCTAAAACTGAAGAGTAAAAGGGAAAAGTATTCTGATAGTTCATTGTAAGGAATATATATATTTTTCTGTTACCTCTATCATGAGAGTGGCAGGAGGCTCGACGAGATTAGGCATTTCAGCAGTCACAAAAACAGCCACCAGCACTTTCTCAGGGAACCTCTCCATGGCCATAGATATAACGTAGCCACCAAAGCTGTGACCCACCAGAATCACCTTGCCATCATCATCATCTTCAGGCAGGGAGGCCATGAACTCCATCAACGGCCGAGCATAATCCGAAATCGTGACGATCTCGTCCAGCCGATTCGGGTCAGCACCGGATGCTCCGAGATCGAGAGCAGTAACTCTGTGACCACTGGATTTCAGGAGCGGGATCAGCTTGTACCAGCACCATGCTCCATGTGCTGCTCCATGAACCAGCACAAAGTGCTTCTTTTCCCCTTCCATAAAGTTGGTTCTGTTTTATTTTTCGTTTTGGGTACTAATTGGGTTGTTGGTTGGGTTTTTTATATTGGCGCCAGAATATGGCTTGGAAAGGTTGAAGTGAACGAGGAGAAAGCATTTGTGGCCTTCTGGGGAGTTTCCACCATTTTCATTGGAAGTGTCATCTAGTGGGTGAGTAGTGACAAGCAAAATTGGTTACAGGGTGAATCTGCATTTTGGGGCTTTGGTTTAACCGTCTGTTGGTCGTATACTCTAGTCGGTTTTGTGCAGTTTCCCATTCACAGCTAATTTCAATTGGTTCATATTACGTTTTTATGTATCTAGTTTCAGCATGTCATGTTCAAGGGAAAGGCTTTCTGTTTGCATACCATTGCATGTATTTGAGATTCCTTGTATTGGGGAGGCTGCTTGTGGTGTTTTGCTTTTCATTTAATCATAATACTAAGATATGCCTGCTCGCTTGCGCTTCGCGGTGAGTGGAGGATAGTAATGTAATTGTATCGTATGAAAAAATTAATAAAATAGAATTTATACGACGTAATTCCAAAGAACGGTAAGAAAGAGCACTAAGATGTCGTGGGAGAGAATTCGTACTAATATGCACTCACTGGCCAATAAAGTTACAAATTACCGGATGACAACTTACATATTTGGAGCTCGACAATTGTTAATTAGAAAATTTACTAAGTTTCTGCATTTGAAATGGAAAATAAAAAAGAGAAAATAAGAATAATTTAGCATTTGTTTTCTTTGGTTCCGAAACCACTTTTACCATTTAAATGGAGAGCGAGAAAGAGATGAGTAGAGTGCAAAACCAAATACGAACAAAAATGTCAATCGATAAGTCACAAAGATTGTCAATCGATAAGGATTAAAAATGGACAATACATCGTCGAAATACACGTAATTGAAATATGCGTGATTAGCCAACCTCAAGTTGAATAGTCGAAAAACTCATAAAGATTGTTAATCTATAAGGACTCAATAAATGAAAAATGCATCGCCGATATACACGCAAATCTGAATACGTGTGATTGGTCGCTTCTAGTTGAATAGTTGGAGAACTTATAAAAAATATCAATCAATAATTAAGAATTCAAAAATAAACATTACTCCACAATATGGATTAAATACTAACAATAGCAAAAACAAATGGATAAAATAAAATAGATAAAAAAGAAAATAACTAAAATATTTTTATGGGTGATTAAAAGAAATGAAAAAAAAGAGATAAAATATGTGTCATCTTGCAAATAAAGGTAAAGTATAAAAGAATAATTACAATAAAACCTCTTAATAAATAGTATGGGTAATACCTTTTTTTTCTTTTCAAAAGATACCATATATTGATAAAAAATAGGCAGTTACACCCTGGAAACCAGCTAGGTCTGAGAATCAAAGAAGCGACTCATAGTCGGGTACAAAGAAAGGACTTTCCTAGCTACCAAATGAGCTGCCCTATTGTTCTCCCGACCTACAAAACGCACACTAAAGCCAGGTTGAGTACGAAAATGATGACCAATCTCTTACAGAACAGCACTCAATCGACTATCTCTTATGTCGGCTTGATTAATTTTGTCAATAATCACCTTCGCATCGCCCTCAAACCGGACGTCCGACAAGCCTAGCTCCATACACCAAATAATAGCTTCCCTAATCCCTAAGCACAAGCAATTCCACCACCATAGGATCATCCATTTGAGAAAACTGAACCCCTCTAGCCAGAAGGAGTGTCCGCGCTGGGTCCAAAAGATAGCTTCCCTAAGCACAAGCAATTCCACCACCATAGGATCATCCATTTGAGAAAACTGAACCCCTCTAGCCAGAAGGAGTGTCCGCGCTGGGTCCAAAAGAACCATCCCACCAGTCGAATGCGACCCACTCTTCGTAGCCCCGTCCCACATGCAAACTAAATGGGAATCGCCCATTTGCGAGTATGGGTAATACCCTAATTGATGAAAATTACAATAGAACCTCTTAATAAATAGCAAGACCAAAACTATGTTTTTTATAATATAATAATTATTTTAACTAATTAACCTAATGTTGATGTGTCAGACACTTCAATTTTGATGATATCTCACTCACGACTAGACATCTCATGTGTCTGTTCATGAAAAACGTATATGTGTATACAACTCCGTTAAAAATAGTGAAACTCTTAGCATTTGTCAAACAACATCAAAAGTTTGATAATCTTGTTTCTTATAAAACTTGGAGCACAGAAGGAAAAACCACCTACCGACGGAATCTTTTCTCTATAACGAAAAGCAAATCGATCTCGAGCTCATTTTTCATTAGTTTTATTCTGAAACTCAATAGTCTGCAAGTGCTTGCAAATGCTTTGTCTAGTATCATGCAGTTTCCATTCCTCATTATTGAAACTCATGTTCTGCAAGCAACCAAGCGTGTTCACTTTCTCTATGAACTTCCTACGATAAGAGTTCCAAGCTTTTTTTTTTTAAGGAAAACTCTCGTGATCTTTTGACTCAATCAACTCTATGCATTTACAATGTCACTACAAGTCACAGCCAGGTTCATCATCCTGGCTTTAAAATCCAGTGACCAGAGCAATTCTTTCGTTGGAGTTAAACAGCCAGCTTTGAATAATTCGATTGTACAATTGGGTTCATTTTCAGAATAGAATTTATGGATTGGGATATACTTCTAGAATGATTAAACAGAATCGTAAAGTTATATACAGTTCTACATGGTACTCTATGCACCGCCAAATGCTAAAGAACTAAGAGCAGAGAAACCCTTAGGAGGCAGAGTCCAAGTTGATATTTACATTTCTTTTTCACAGAAACATGTTGCAAGGGATGCTGCACTGGTTCATATTTGGTTCAGGCTTTAATCATGAGCTTGTACCTTCAGCTGCAGTAAGAAACTTCTCTTTCTTCAGCAGCTACACTTTCTTTAAACATTTGAAATCAGCTGAGCATGGTTGGATGCCCAGTCTGCAGCATCCTCTTGATCATGTCCATCCCAAAAGCCGAATCTGATGAACTGTGTAATTACAGGACACGAGCGACTCAGAATGGTCAACAAGAATGGTGTTCTAGAGGAGCCTAAAATTAGAATTGAAAGCAAAATCTCGACGCTATGTTGCTCTTTGTAATGCTAGACATGAAGGAAACTTGGAAAACTAATCAGGGTTCTATTCAACAGTGGATATCAGGCTCAGCTAAGATTTTCATCACAAGGCGCACAAATCATTAACATAAATCACAAGGATGGGAGAGAGAACACACCTTGGGATAGTAATTTCATAAGGGAAATACACGACACCATCAGATATAGGAGGCACATGATCCTTCTTCTCATTCACAAATTTTATTATCTGGAACAAAACCTCACGAAGAGAAGATTCAAGTGCTGCCCTGCGATTGCTCCTCTCCTCCAACGAATTTTCTGCACTTAACATAATGACAACAAAAGATTTTTTTGGTCACAAACAGGATTAAGAGTTAACAACCTTTAGAAGCAATGAATTATAAGATACGAGTCAACGGTACTACCTCCAGGATCCACCACTATCTTTGAAGGATGAGACTTCCCAGAGTGAACTTTTTGTTGCTGGCTCACATTCAAATTGATATACCATTGTTCCCAATAAAGACGTTCAGTTTTGTTAGTGAACCATGAAGGATGCTTGTTTTTCACCTCATAAAACGATATGCAGACCTGGATCATTCAATAAAGGGGTCAACAACCAAAAGAATGGGATACCATTGGTACTAAAAGAATGGGGGTGATAAAAGCAGTAAACATAATATGATGATAAAGTGCTACTCAGAGAAACAGATAAAATGGTCAGCTGGAGAACTGTATGCATAGTTGTACTATACAGTATTGTTTAACCGAAGGCAGTTGACACATATATGACTTGGCGCGGTAAACAACAATAACATATTTGACATGGACATATATGCAAACCCTATACATCCACCTTTGCTTTGCAGCATATACAGAAAAGAACATATTACATAGAATCATAAACAGGTAAAGGAACAACAGGGGGAATAGGCAGCTACCTGGCTCTTCTTATTTGGGTGTTTCTCTACCCAGCTAATGAACTGCTCAATCTTCTCGTCAATTTTCTTTTCAAGTTCACCATCCCCACATTGCACCTGCGAAACAAGAAGGGCAATGTCATCGCCAGCATACAAATAGATGATGCCAGAAGTCACCAATGGCATGATGAGCTTCAGGTACAAAGCATGTAAGCCAGCTTTTGGAGGACACCCATTACTTACATATGTAATGTCAAAGAGCTCTAAATCAATGACTTTGGGACGGACGAGCCCTAAAGCTCGGTGGAACACAATCGTATGCAATATGCCTGCAAAGCCCAAGATCACATGCGCACAAATTGACCAACTTTAAACTGAATTGTCAATTAAATTGCACAAAATGAAAGAACACAAATCTCAGCTGCTAGAATTCTACTCTCATGAGTCCACCAAGCGGGAAGAACTTACAGCGGAGAACTTCCCGTATCTCGAAGTGCTCCACTTCCTGCAGGTTGAACAACGCAAGTTCCGTAAAATCGAAAATCAACAAACTGGAAACGTAGAAATCTCTAAAATTCAGTACGAAAAGCTCAAGTGATCGACGGTCGAAGAAATCCAGAAGTTACCAGCTCTTTGAGTTGGCAGACTTCGCAGTTCATGATTCCTCGCGGTTGGACGAAAAATTGAATCGCAAACGGAGTTGCGGAAAGCAAACGAATCTCAAATATTTCCCGCTCCTGAAATCTCTCACCCGAAAAGTTCAAATCTGGAAAATCTCGGAGCTCCAAAAATGGCGGAGTTGAGTTTAGGGATGGCAATAAAACCCGGACCCGCGGGTACCCGCCCGACCCGACCCGGTCAAACCGGGTAAAATCCGTGTTGACTGGGTTCGGGCCGGGTTCGGGTTAAAACCCGGTGGCTGGCTGGGCGGGTTGGGTCGGGTTCGGGTTTGGGGGAACCCGACCCGTGGATACCCGGACATATGTAAAACCCTAAGATCTATAATGTGAATTGAGTCATGAGTGTCGACCTCCTCCTCCAACCCCTAATTTTGGCCATTCTCATTCACAAATTCCCTCCCAGCAGAGAGCAGACACGCCGCCACCAAACTTCTCCCTCTCTGAAATCAATCCCTGCCGCCGAATTAGGATCCCGTCTCCATTCCCGTCGCCGCCAAACCTGTGTCCTCCTCCCGTCTCCATTCCCGTCGCCGCCAAATAGGGATCCCGTCTCCATTCCCGTCGCCGCCGAATCGGGATCCCGTCTCCATTCCAGTCGCCGGCC